AACAGCAAAATTCCGTAACGATTCGGCATCGAAATTGGGCGGGCTTTAACATTTTTATTTTCGGTGTCCTCGCCGCCGCCATTCTTCCGCGCGGTATCGAACTGCGGAATCGCGAGAGCTGGTCGGGCACCGTTTCTCCTCCCGTCTGAATTTTTGTTCCGAATATTTTTCACAAAGATATTCGCATGTCCGTACACGTCCGTATGTAGGAAATATTTTTTTCATTATACGTCGCGACCAATCCTCGTAATTACGATCTAAAGAGAATATCAAAGTATCGCACGGCTGAATCGTTAAGGACGATACCGCACACGGGAATCGACCGGATGACCGCAGAAGGAACGGACGATCGTCCCGTGAAATCGTCATCGTAAACCGCGTACAGCTCGTTAAAACATTAAATCGCGCCGGACGACTAGCCGATCCTAACGAGAAGTTCTAATGGCGCAATTAAGATGCATCGGCAGGTGGGCCTGTGCAACGTATCGTTCTGTTTGCTCGAACTCTGACCTCGGAGTTTCGACGATGCCCTTGACTGCAAACGACTTCCGGAGATCATGGCGAACGATAAAAAGGAGCAATAACGAGAATATAAATATAAATTGGTAATGTAAATTGTTTTCACGAAGCTGTTGCCGCCGCTCATCAGATTTGAAATTTCTACGTCGACGCTCCTCGGGGAGAAAGACGCCGATAGAAGAACACAGGATGTCGAGCGAGACAACGCCAAGATCAACGGTAATATGCGACGTTAACCGTAATTTCAGCATGTTAATACCGTCACTCACGTCGTCGACTCGCAGCACCTGCATTATCAGATTACTCGTGCAGCTGCCCGGGGTTCGGTGCTGCACTTTACGGGCAGTTTATGCGCAGCTCGCCTCTGCGCGCGCGGAGTGCTCCGGATAAATCATATTTACTAGCCGACGAAACTGTCGCCGCTCCCGCGTCGCCGAGTCGCATTTATTTTCGCGACGGGATCGAAGAAGCGCGCGGCGACGAAAGCAGCCGATGCACGAGGTATAGTAACAAAATTTACGCCTCGTCATATATATTTTCGTGCATTTATTACAATGCGTGCTCCCTTCGAACGAACACAAAGAGACTATCGAAGAAATTTCCTCAATAAGGATTTCGATATATTTAGCCGATGTTAAGTGCTTTTCGGTTAATTCTAATTGAAACATATACAAAATGTCAAATCGTGAAAGATGGGGGGAAGGGAGAGAGAGGGGGGAAGAGAGAGAGAGAGAGCTATTGGACGAGATATCTTTATTATGAGGATGACCGAGGAAATACCGTTCGCATTACCATGCTGTAAAACCACAAGTGACTTCATAAAATATCCATCCGATGATGTATCCCGAGCGCAACTCCGCAGCGATGCTGTGGAGATCACATTATGAAAATGCATCCGTCAAGTCTAATATTTCGTAGGTGATGCAGCGGCTTATGACCTGCCATAAAATGTGCACTATTGCGCAGGCACTCGGGAATATTCGCGAATACCTTCGCTAAGACACGCAAAATGAAGTCGGACTTAAGCAAAAGAAAAAAAAAGTTACACCGACTACATCACTGATACTTTTTTCGTCACTGTCACGATACGATAAAAAAAAATCATTCGAATCTTTACTGCCAAAGAAAACGCCTCTGTTTCTGTTTTTATCAAATTTTCGGAAACATATGACTGCATTATATGCGGCATATCTAATTTCCCATGAAATCTTATATGGCCGTGCCGGAACATGTTTATTTCGACACCGGTCAGAAGCCAATATTCGAAGTAGTTAATCTCAGTCTCAGTACGCTCCGCTACAATCTCTGACTAGCGTCTATAAATTTCCCGGCAACCTGAGAGCCTCATGGCATTTTCGGGGAACGAAGATAACAAGCTGGATCGGCCAGGAAAAATAGCAGGCCATCTGCCAAACCATCATCGCCCTCGTGAAATATTTGTAGGATGCAGCTACAGCAATGATCGCGTATACGGCGGATACATACGGACAAGAAATTCGTGACCCAGATAGTCTGGAAGGCGAGATGGCGTAACATCGCTGCGGTACTGCCACCATATCACCCGTGTGTGCCACGAAAAAAGACTCGATACACGATTTGTGACCATAAAATCTCGCGACATAACAGAAGTTTCGGAATTTATTCTTTGAATTAATCGCATTTTTTAGATGTAATAAAATAAAAATATTTTGAACATATAGACGATGGGCGTATTCAAAATTTTTTTGAGGGGGGGAAGGGACTTTATCAATTCTATTAACATAAACAGCAATTTTTTATGTTAATGAAATGCTTTTTTGCATTTACATGCAATTAAACGTTAACTTTTTTTAAATTTCGGGGACTAGATTTGAATCTCGCGAAATCCCTTCCTCCCTCCTGGATACACTTATACACAAAAAGTCTCTCTCTCTCTCTCTCTCTCTTTCTAAAAATAAGAGATTCGATCGGAGAAATCTAAATCGAGCATAAAACCGAAAAGTTACGTCTTGAGCTTGATAACGGATACGAGAATTAAATTTCCATTTCGTGCCGCTCCTCGTGCCAGTTATTAGAACAATAGACGAAACGTCACGATTCGTTATCGGTAGAGATGACACGATTGTACGCCGCGATGCAATCGATGTCGATGCTCTCGTTCCTCGATGTACGATAAGCTCAGACCGAGCGACGATTTATCGATCGCGCGAAAAACTACCGGGACCTACGGCAACATTCGCGTTAAGTGGAAAGGTCGACGTATGCGCGGACCGCCGCGGCGGTACGCCGTTAATCGCGCGATCCCAAGGCCGTCGTTGCAAGATCGCTGAACCGTCCTCGAAACGCGCGCACGATCTCGTATATATATTTTCGCATTCGATTCGACCTTCGGAGCCCCGCGCCGATTTGTCGTCTCGCCCAGTGCGATGTCAAGAGACGAGATACCCAGGGGAATTGTGCAAGAACGTAAGGTAATTTTTCGTTACTCGGTAACGGGGATAAGGGGGAGGGGGGAAAGGGAGTTGAGGGGGTTTGCCGTTCTTTCTCATACGCGTATTCATTACTAACGAGTCCGGATGGATCTGGTTGTCGTGCGGTATATATTCTACGACGTTACAGAAACCTTCGTTGCGCACTAAGCAGCACGAGAGGCGTGTAACTCGATCCCGATTCCTCCGGGGTCCGAGGAAGAGCAAGAGAGAAAGAGAAAAGAGGGAATGACCGCGAGAACGGCGGTGAGGCGAGATCAGAGATGGGAGTAGTCGGAAAGAGTGACGAGCGCGCTTTTCGCGGACTTTATTTCTGCCTGGACGGTGTTTTCCTACTGTCGCGCTCGTCGTACACTCGTAGCCAGGACTGTAAGCCTCCAATGTAGCATCGCGCGCGAAATGAAAAAAACCATAGTAATGAAGTAACAGAAAAACTAAAACCGAAGAACATTTCACCTCGTTAGAATATAATCTTGCGACAGTTGTATGGATTCCTTTTTCCACGGGTCCCACATTTTCCCTCGGTTTTTCCCGCCGTCATCACAGCTTCGTCAAAGGCTCGAAAAAGCGAATAAATAGCACCGATCGCAATTAATAGCCCGATCATCCGACGTTATACGTTGGCAAGGGGAACAATGCGTGATATCGCGCACGAGCTATAGGTGAAGATGAAAGAGGAGGGAGGGGAAGAGGAGCGCGATATGAAAGTGACAGTTTGCAAAATTGGCAAAGCGTAATTTTGGCCCATTGGCTCTATCCGGCGCCAGCGAAACAACGTTATCGGGCACGCTCCCAATATCCGACATTACCAAACTATAATTAAGCGCTATTCTTTGTACGAAAATTAATTCAATGCCGGGCGGCGACGGCGCGCGCGGCGAAGCCACGCGGAAATCCGCATGCCCCGGCCGAGCGAGCGCCGAGCGGCCGGGTACCGTAAAGCCCGATCCTAATTTGGTTTTCCAGCGTGTGCCGTATGTACGCGCACGCGGATTCCTTTTCACTTCGTTTTATAACGCTCGATGCTATTTTTGCCAGATAAAGCGCAAAATGCGCAGCCTGTTAAGTGATGCGCGATTTAAAGCGTGTGTGTCGCTCGTGCTGGTGCCGCATTTCACGCACCAAATATTCCCGCCACCGCCGCCGTCGCTTGATATTTGCGTTAAATTCATACATCGGCCATTTTTTCAAGCACGGTCTCGCGAACCAAATTCCTCTTCCCCCTCTCGCTCGCTTCTCTAATAATAAGTAAACGTTCGTGAACGTTTCACCTCGACGAAATATTCGTCACGCGTGCACGACATATGACAATAAATTCTAATTTTTAAATGTTTCTCAGAATATACACTATATATAAATACAATTGAGTTGTCGATGAAATAAATCAGATAAGAAAAGATGCGTTCAAATTCGATCTTTAATATATCTCTCACCTCTTTTTTATTTCGCGATAACAGTCCCTCGAATCTACGAAGAATTACGTTGGAGGATGGGGATTACGTCTAAAAGAAATCGGCTCACATGAATAATCGTATGTTCATGCCCGAGCGCTCCGATTCCGATACCGAAAATATCAATATACACGGAAGGCACTCGCGATACAGGTAGCCGAGTCTCCCGTACTCGCTCCGTGCGTGCGTGCGTGCGTGCGTGCGTGCGTGCGTGCGTGCGTGCGTGCGTGCGTGCGTGCGTGCGTGCGTGCGTGCGTGCGTGCGTGCGTGCGTGCGTGCATACGTGTGCGTAGCCTCCGCGCGCACACGCAAGTACATACGTTCCGGCGGTATTACGCGCGCATTTACACGTTCTCGGCATCCCCGCCGAGTATACGAGCGCCTGTGCACCACGTCCCTACCACCCCTACGACGCCAGCGAACCCCTCCGTGCGCCCCACTGATACACGCGCGAGCCCCCCTTCGACGACGCGCGGATCCCCACCACCTTCCCATCACTCCGTCGTCGTTTTTCCCCTCTCTTCTCGTTATCCGTCGTGTATCGTCTCTCTTTCGGGCGTCTCTCACCTGCAGTGAGCAACATCGGTTCGCGTCGTCTATAAACCCGTAGGTCCGTCCGCGAGGAGGAAAAGAAAAGGAGACGCGGCACAAAAAGAAGGAAGAGGAATCTCCTCGCTTCCAGAGGGATGGAGTGGGGAGGGGAAGGGGAGAGGAACGGAGATCGAATACGATCGGCCGCCGCGTGGAGAACCTACCGCTATCTTTCCGCGTATCCTTTCTCCGCGCGAATACAGTCCACGCCGATTTGCCTGTGCCTCTACCGCCTCTACGAGAATGCTTGCCGTGCCTGCCTGTCGCTCTAGCGCCGCTTTTACGGGGAGTCGCTGCCAAGAGAGAACACGCCGGTACTGTCCTAGACAAAAGCCGCCGGGCGTATCTATCTATCTAACCTACCGCGACTTCGATCGTCGCCGCCGTGTTTACGGCCGCGTGATCCCGCCGCGATGATGAAAGACGAGTACTCGATAACCGAGTCGACAACACTGCTTGAAATGAAACAGTGATTTCTTTTTATAACGCACGTTCGCATGCACGATGGAATAAACGTAGAAAAAAATTTTAATCAATATAAATATTCTCATATGTAAGCAAGAGTATTGTAATCTTCCTAAAAATTTTAGTCTTGATTTGATTGAATTTTTATTACTTTTATTCGATATGAAAATTATAATATTCTTGCTTATATATGTAAAGATATATATGATTTATTTAATATATATGATCAAATTTTTTTTGTGCATTGCTCCAAAAATATTCTGTGATATTCTCATCAGAGATGCAACATAAATCGCAAAGGAAATAACTTTTTTTATGCTTGATGATAAAATGTTCAATAAAAAATATAGAGGTCCGTTTACTATTGCGCCATTTACTAAAGCATGCAATTTTTAGATTAATGATTATTACAGAAATGAAAGATTTAAGGGGAACTAGGTCTTAGGGAAAATTAGTATAGTAACTATCCATTTCTTATTTTCCGCTTTTTTTCTCACATATATACAGAAGAAAACAGTTTTGCTGGCAAATCTAAATTTAACTAGATCTGAAAATAATTTTGTTGGATTATCAAAATTATTCTGTACGACATTTAAACGTGATAATATTGCAAAAAGTTTTTATCTTCTAGCAACCAATTTGAACATTATACATAATAATTTTGAAGGCCCAACAAAATTATTTTCGAATTTATATCTAATCAAATTTTTAGACTAGCAAAACTGTTTTTTCCTGTGTGGAGAGATTTCGTTCCGTCAATACCAAATATCGAGATCTTTGAATGATACTAGATGCCATTAGAGAAAATTATCGCAAGATTCACCGGACTTGTTTAAATTCCTCATATTAATTAGTGCATATTATTACGTAACATTCCAGAAACGCACTTAAAGGATAGATACACAACGCTCTCTGTTTCATCGTACAATTGTAACATTGAAACAGCCTATGTCGTTACGCAAATGGCCTTGTTGCGTTTTAATCCTTTGTACGACGCGTTCGTTATTAATATCTCACTATGATACATTTGTTATTAATATCCATTGCGGCACATCCGCTATTAATACTCACAGCTTCCATATAGAGATTGCTCAATACTGTCCTTAACAAAGATCGTCCTCGTACCTATCGGTCTTCTATTTATAGGCTGCGCAATTATCGCGAGTTTCTTAATACGAGAACGTTAGGAAACAGGGAATTCTCCTGATGTTGAGAAAGTCTCTGGAGAAATTGAATCCGAATATTAGTGGACCACTACGACAAAATCGGATTTAATTTCTTCCCGATAGCGTTACTATTATTATATCTCTTCGATGTCCTTGGACGTCAAGATTTCAATAGAGAAAGCACGCGAAGTTGTCGCAAAGAAAAGAAATAAAAAAAAACTCCTGTAATCCCTCACTTTCCATGACGATCATTTTGAACAGCGTGGGAGTTACACGTCACGAATTTCGCTTCAAGATGAAAATAAGCGAGTAATAATTGCTCAGGAAATCCGCGTTTACTTTGAGGCTCAAACGCAGGTACATCTCTTACGTACGGCATCATTGTGTTCGGGATGCGTTCGTGCTTTCTACAAAGTAATTGCTCATCGGGATTGCTCTCTTCGCGAAATGGAGAAGGCGGGTGGTTACCGGCCTACGGGAGAAGGTCGATTCGTCGTTATTACGTGACACCGTTACGCAACGGCTCGCCTCCGCTCGTCGTTCGATCGTGTCTTCGTGCACGCACACATACACACACGCAAGACATGACATATACAAAATCGTCTCACCAAAATTGCCCAATATCTGTGAGCTCAACGACGATACGTCTGACCATTTCTTCGTTGGCATTTTTCATCCTTGAAGTTAATCGCAACTACAAAGAATGCAATATTTAATAATTAATATGCTTCCCCTCGCTCTCTCTTTTTCTCCTTTTTAAACAGATACAGTCATGAAAAGTTCATTCAAAAATAATTAGTAAATTCTAATCTAACGCGGATCAAAGATTTCGCGACAGACATGATCGGCGATCGCGATGCGCAAAGTATCTGACGCGGATCCTCTCAAGTGGGATGTTGGTACGATCTGACACGTTCCTCTCGAGGAATGTCGAAAGCGTGTAATTCTACGAGCTACTCCGCGATGCATTGGTACCCCGTGTTGACGGGCGAGAATCGACCTTTTAGCCGTTCGTCGGACAAACAAGCCGGCCCGACTTGCAGCGCGGACGAAGCGAGACGGAAATATATATGCGCAAGATTCGAATGAAAGGACCAAGAGAGACGGAGGGACAGAGGGACGGAGGGGAGGGGAGCGAGAGATAACCGTGGTGGACGGTGGGTGGAGGGAACGACAGAGGGATATCCTATCCGCTAGAACGCGAGAGGGAGAGAAAATAATAGAAGGAGGGCGAGGCGGTCACTTGTTGCGATCCTGTTAGTTCACCTCTTCGCCGACTGCCTCTTCGTCTTTTGCTCCGTTCTTCGTGCACATCGGCTCCGCGCGTCGAGACGCCGCGCCGCGTCGCGTTGCGTCGTGTCGGACGAGAAGAGGCGCCGGTAAATGAACAACAGCCAACGGGAGGAGGCCAGGCGGGGGAAGAGGGGGACGACCGTTTATTTTGCGAGGTGTGCCGTATGCATGTACAGCTATCTGCGAGGTCATCCTCGAAACGAAAAATATACGGAAGGCTTACTAAGAACAGCCTAGCTTAACTTGCCCATTGTTGTTGCTCGTATTAATATTGTATTAGTGACACATAAATTACATATTAATTACACCGAGAGGACGATTGTATTAAAACGTACAAATGGTCACATCTGATAATCATTTTGTTGAACCATCAAAATAATTATGTAGAACGCTCAAATTGGCTTCTACATTATCAAAAGTTTTTATCAGTACCATTATTATGAAGTGTCCTACATAATTATTTTGAGGATCCAATAAAACTATTTTACTGAATTATCAAAAGTTTTTATAGTATCATTATTACGAAGCGTCCTATAATTACTTTAATAATCCAACAAAATTATTTTCAGATTTGTGCGTATACATATTTGACTTTAATTTTTTTATCTCATCAAAACCGATCTTTTTATGTATAATATAAAAAACATCTTGCGTAAAGCCTAATAAGAATAGGATACTGGATAATATACTGGATAAAGTTTAAGTTATATTTATTATTATGACTTCTGATTTAAGATAAGCGTCAATTACATACATTTTCGATTTCTGTATTATTTTAATACGCTGCATTACGCTGATTTCATATTTTTCCAACGAAACAGATGTGATTCCGGGAGAAGAAAATTTCGCTCGATCATACCGTCGTCGATGGAAACGTATAGCACAAGCCGAGAAGAACCGCGCCGTCATAACAAGGTTATTACCCACCTAGACTCCTGAGAGCGTACATAATGTACCTTACGCCAAGATTCGGTCGGTGTAGCCTCTCTCCCCCTTCCCCATTTCTGTCTTTCCCTCTCTCTCTCTCTCTCTTTCTGCAGCTTTCCGCTTCCTCTTTCTCTCTCGCAGATGCTCCATTGCATCGAGAACGCGCGGCGAGAGGCGCACTCTCTGCGCGCGGCGCGCAGAATTTGCGGCGCGAGTCGCGAAACTATAGGCGCGCCGGATGCGGCCGATCCTCTCGCTAGAGCGGCTGTGAGCCGGGTCAATACATACGCGTTCCAACGGGGCTATGAACTATTGACACGCATAGCGAGG